CCGGACATGTCCGGGAAAATCCGGACGTATGGTAACCCTAGCGCACAGACATGAATCAAACACAGTAATCTGTGATCATGAAGAAACAGAAAGAAGCCCACATTCCCTGAGGCCACAGAGGAATCTGTCTCCAAACAGACCTCCCACTGCAAGTCCCTGCAGGTTAATAACAATGGACACCTACCAGATACTCCTGGAATTGCTCCTCTCCAGTCACTTTAAATCCCAGGAGCTTTTCTCTCTCTTTCCTTAGCGTCCTCAAACGGGCCTGGATCTTTTCCTGAAGGAACAGAAATGTTATGGTTGTTTATATTTTGAGGGCTGAGAGTGTTTGCAGCGGGGTGGGTTGAGTTGTTTTTCCACCAGAGACGCTGTAGATGACTGTTGGCCCTACTAGGTATATGACAGCAGGAACACCAAGGAGATTAAACTAATTGAGACAGGGAGTGTTTTATATTCAGTCTTTGGAATTATTTGTCCTCTTTTCCCCTTGGGTTAAACCAGCAGGAAACTGGAGTCACATGGTGGTGAATCAATAAACCCATTTTTGAGACAGTTTAACTTACAAAGTGATATAAATCCAAGAAGGCATCAGGGCTAGAAATATGGGCTGGGATACTCAAAGGAGCCCAACTCCCATTGAACTTCAGCCCTGAACTTCTGGGGATGGCACTGGTTGGACAGAACTGGTCTAAGCATTAGGACAAACTGCATTAGCCATGCTGATTTGTGTTAGGAATAGTTGGGGTTTGACAAAGTGTGGTCCTAAACACTCTCATTTGTAATGCCTTCTGGGTAGCTAGCCTCCAAAGCAAAGTGCCCAGAAGCAGTGGATTTTGGAAGAATCCAAAAGGCTGCATGGTGGGACTAATGGAACCACCTTGGTTGGTCTTCCCACATACAGAATAAAACAGCTCAGACTGATACAGGTCAGCACCACCCAGTCGTCAGTTCTGCTGAAATTCAGTCTAATCCCAATGGTATTTGGCATGGACCTATGCTATCTGGAGCCCTTTTGTGTGCGGACTCAAGGTCCACACAGTATTTAGGTCAGTGAACCCCACTAGTGCAGGCTGTCACCTGGGTTTAACCACTCAGGGAGCAGGAATTCAGAATCCCAGTGGGAAACCTCAGTATCCTAATGAACTTGGGACCTTTCTCAAGGGTTCTTTATAGCCTTTATTAATTACAGCCTAGTGGTTAGGGCACTGGTCTGGGACTTAGGAGATGTGGGGTATCTTCCTGGGTCTGCTGCTGGGTGACCCTGGGCAAGTCACTGTCCATCTCTGTGCTTCTGTTTCCCCTTCCCACCCTTTGTCTTGTCTATTTAGTCTGAAAATTCCTCAGGGAAACCCTCACTGTGTTTTGTGATGCCAGATCTTTTTTGAGGTCTATAGTGGATACTGTGATGCAAATAATATTAACAATAATAAATATTGTGATACTGTGACACTGGGCCCGCAAGGGTTAAACAACCAGCAGGCTAAATGACCCAAATTCAACCTTTAAAAAGATACTAGAAAAATATAGAAATGGTAATCAGGGCCATTTCTTGTGGATAGTTATCAAAGCCATGTTAGTAGACCAGAGTGTTTGAAATGTAAGTCTGTATTGTTAGAGAATTAGAAGTAAATGCTAACTATATTTGTCTGTGCTTACCTTTATCTGTTAGAAGCTTCACAATATGATTTTATTAGCTGGTGGATACAAAACTTCTTTTCCTGGCTGTTACTATGATCTATTGAGTCAGAGATCAAAGGGATGGGGCCTCAGGGTGGAGTGCAGGTGGGGCCATGGCCCAAGCATCTGCGCTCTCAAAGGCAGCAGGTCAGCAGCTGTTTGGGGAGGCTTAGCCTCCCCTGGCCTATTATACCCGCTGCCCATGCATTTAGATGAAAATTGGGTGTAATAACATCATTGTCTTTATTTCTCTTTAAAGTTTGTAGCAAACTACCTTTGAATAGTTAATAGCCTTATGTTAATCAATGCAACTAATTACCTGTGTACACATAGGAAATGGGAGGTTTTACGTCAAAGGACAATGTACATTACTTATTCTTCACCCAAGGAATCCCTGCTGGGTTAACTGCTATCAAGAAGCTATGGCAGCCTGCCAGAGATCTATAAAAGACTCTAGGGCCCCAATCCTTTCATCTCAAGTCTGCTTGGACTTTACCATGGGAAGTTTTGCGTTGCAAGACTGAGCTACAGCTACAGCCTGGCTTACCCTGCTATTTCTCATGGAAGAATTTAAACACTCTACACAGGGATTGCCTATTGAACAATAACCTTTGGAACTGATTCTGAAAGAACTTTTTATAAGTCAACAGCTCACCACCTCTACTATGAAACTGACCTAGGAACATCTGCACGTATAATGATCTTTAATCACAACACTCTGTCTCTTTTTTTTTCAATTAATCTTAGATTAGTTAATAAGAATTGGCTATAAGGGTGTATTTGGGTAAGATCTGAAATATTCATTGACCTGGTGCGTGATGTGTCTGATCCCTTGGGATTGGTAGAAGTTTCTTATACGATGAATAAGATCTTCAGTGATCCTCATCATATTTGACTTGGATGTCTGGGTGGGAGCCCAAGGCTGGATTGCTTTAAGGGAACTGTATTTTTGGCTTCTGGGTAACCAGTAAGATATTGTAGAAGCTGTTTTGTTGCTGGATTGGTAAATTTAATTATTAGAAATAACCACTAGTTTTGAGGATCGTCTGCCTCATTCTTTGCAGTTTGCCCTGATTAAGCAATCTCAGTGCGGTTCCCCCAACAACCACGCTCACAGATAGAAATCAGTAATAACAACAACAGCTTGTAACATCCCATTCTCCACTCTGAAGGCAACTCTCTCACATAGATTGCAGCTCATGTGATTTAAACCTCACTGGTCATTTAACAGTTCCAGTTGGGCTGTAAGATTCCTTATCTCACCAGTGGGAACTGGTCTCAAAATTGCTTCCAAGCTTCCCAGAGAAATGTTTCCCACATCTGTGATCTTTAATGCCTCTGTTTTTGTCTCTTTTGCCACCTTGTCCTGTACATTTCTTTTCATATAATTTTTCATACAGTGAAGGCTTTACAGAGCTGCAGTTACATCAATAGCTGTGGAAGAGAAAACTTAAATGTGACCTCCAAGTTGTGATGAAATTAACCAGTAATTAAAATCCTATTAGAATGAATTAGACTGGACAGTGATTACCTACCTTGTACTCCTGGGCAGCCTCCTCTATGGGAACCACAGTGTGAGCTTTGTGCATCCGGGATCTGTCACACACCAAACAGATGGGGGTTTGATCCTCTTCACAGAACAGTTTGAGAGGCTCCTGGTGTTCCACACACACTCTCTCACCTCCTGCAGCCTTCATTACCTGTAAATTCAGTTGTTTGACTATTTTTAAGACATTTGCCAACTGCCTGTTTGGCCTGAGGTTTCTCTGTTGCACAGTTTCTCTGCACTGGGGGCAGGAGGCGGCTGTATTGGATCCCTCCCAGCACTGGGTGATGCAGGCTCGACAGAAATTGTGTCCGCAGTCTATAATCACTGGGTCTTTAAAATCCTCCAGACAGATGGGACAAGTAGCTTCATACTGGAGACTTCCCACGGGGTTCTCTGAAGCCATGGCTCCCTATTGACAGTGTAACAGGGTTAGTTTCACTTTTATGAGCTCAGAAATATGCCCAGCCTGCAACAATAACTGCGTGTTTCCCTTCCTGGAACTGACTCATGCTGTTTGCTGAGCTGGAAAGTGCCAGTTATTGACATTCCAGCCTTCGAGGCTTTTGTGAAAAATGTACCATAAGGCTCCGATCCTGCAACCAACCCCTCTGCTGATGGGTCTCTGGAGCTTTACCTGTGCATCAGTGCCCAGCTGTAATGCTGAGCTTGCAGGAGCAGGGTTTGTTTGTCTAAGGAGTGATACTAAAGTCACAAGTTAAAATCTGGGTTAAGTTGGAATCAGTGTTTCACAGGCCTGACTCTCATTTACACTAAGGTCTGATCTACTTTTGAAAATTAGGTTGTCATAACTACATCACTCAGGGGTGTGGAAAAGCCGATCTACGACCCCATGTCCCCCTAGTCCCCTAGGATGATGGAAGAATTTTCCCCATCAACCTAGCTAGCACCTCTTGGGGAGTTGGATTACCTACACTGATGGGAGAATTCCTCCTCTTGGCATAAGTAGTGTGTACACTGAAATGCTGCAGCAGCACTGCTGTGCCACTATAGCATTTTAAGTGTAGACAAGCCCTACGGCTACTTTCGCAGTGTAAAGGGGCTGATGTGTAGTGTGGCTGATGTGATTAGGTTCACACTATCAGAGGTTCGTTCACCTGCACATCTACTGTCATAACTATAAAGGGAAGGGTAACAGCTGTCCTGTGTACAGTACTATAAAATCCCTCCTGGCCAGAGACTCCAAAATCCTTTTCCCTGTAAAGGGTTAAGAAGCTCAGGTAACCTGACTGGCATCTGACCCAAAGGACCAATAAGGGGACAAGATACTTTCAAATCTTGGGGGGGGGGGGGGGGGGG